CCACTAGAGGGCACTCTAGTTGGCTGGCGCGACATATTTATATATGCGGCTTATATATGTTTTGTTTTTTTTCTTCTTAATGCATTTTTTACTTGGTAAGACTTACCCCGGAGCGAAAATACAATTCATAATTATGTTAATTATGCATAATTATCGATCTAATACATATCAAGTCAAATCATAAATACACCAAACATATTGCAGTTTGCTAGCAATATTCAAATCCCATTTGACATCCAAGTGTCTGTCAGGGAGAGCTGCCCTGTTGTACTATCACCCTTGGTATCTTCATTTAAATCCCATTTAAATTGCATATATGGTAATATATGAGAGAATTGGTCAGTCAGACAGTTTAGTAGTAAATTAGCCTTAGAGATGTGCGTTTTCTTTAACTTACAATTTTGTTGCCCTTTCAAAGTAAAGCTCGGTGAAACACGTGTTCCCAAGGGAGACAACTTTCAAATCACCTGCGTGACGATGTTGTCCCTTTGAACTGCACGCAATGAAAAAGCTAGCTTCTTGTTAATCTGATGGTGTCCCCCATATGTTTCCTCCAAGTTGGAGGATTATTTTTAAACGTGATTCCTTGTCGAAGCTCCCAGACAAGTTATTGGGACCCGTCACACCTTGTGTTTACTGTCTCAAACGCATCACTAACAAGCATTATTGCCCCCAGGGTAACAAGTGCTCCTATTCGATCTGCTGTCTATGTTCCACCATTTATGGTCTATAGCGTAATCGCAGCATTAGTTGTCATCCTTTATTGTCTTTCTTTTCCTATTTTGCCTGCCGTTCTGAACATTATTATGATGTAGCTGCACTCTTTTTTTGCCATTTGCAAATCTACTACATGATCCCTCGCTATGGCCAGTTTTCTCCTTTGCAAGAGACCAAACGAGCTTTGCCTTCATAATTTCTTGAGTTTCTCCTTGTCTCCGTTCATCTTTTTTTTTTTTTCTTTCCCCGAACCCTCACATTTGAATTTCTATATAATAGGCTTTGACTTCTGGCTGCACGTTTATGGGTCTTTTTTTTATGTTATCACTTAAGCTCATAGTGTGGAGCTGCAGAGCACAGACTCCGAGTGACAGGCCAGCCAGTCAGCAAGGCGTGCCTGTCAGCTTTTCTCACACACTAATGATTTCCCTTTAGTCTATTTTCTGTCTCATTGCCCGTTTCCTTCAAAAACAACATTGCTCATTTAAATGATCATGCCCAGGGCGTTTTGGTCTTCAAATATTGTTGGAAAGTAAGGGATTAGGTAAAATATGCTTTTTAAAAATGTTAATATATTTTGTGGTCTGATTTTTTTTTTCTCTACTGAGGCCAATTATGGAATTTCTGCTGGCTGAAATAATGTCAAACTGACACGCCGGCTATAATTAAGCTGTGCTTGAAACCATACTTTCACTGGGGTGTAGACGAATGTGCCTTGCAGTGACACAGAGCCATGCTCTGCAAGCTTTTGATCATTGAATCATTGCTTATGTTCTTCCCGTCCTTTTTTTTTTTTTTTTTTTTGCTCCCTTGCTGCTAACAGATTCACCTTTTTACTCTTTGTTGTTGCCAAAAACGTATTGCCTTGTGTTTTATTATTCAGCGGCGTGTACACTTCGTTATCGTGATATCATGACTGCACTTACCGCAACGTTTGTATTGAGAGTAGCACACAGAACATAGGTACAAAATGTGGTACATTGTTTACTGGGTTTAACTCGGGATTTACATTTTTGAAGTTTCGTTTTTGATGGCGTGGCGGAGAGGAATTGTACTCAGATGGATTAATGGATGGATAAACAACTCCTTGGCATGATAGTGGTTGATGAATTTTAAAGGTTTAAACCCTGCCTAAAGCTCTTTCGACAGTTTTTTTTTTCTTCTTCAGCTACTGCTGTTATGTATCTGCAGCAGCCTGAAGCCAATTAAAAAAAATCTTTACCAAAGTGGATAAGTGATCTGGGACATACCACAAATGGAGAACAGGACTTCTATACGATACGATAGGATACGATGCGATACGATACGATACAATGCGATACAAAGCAATGCGATGGATGCGATACGATACGATGTGATACGACACGATGTGATACGATACGATGTGATATGATATCATATGATAAGATAAGATAAGATAAGATAAGATATGATATGATATGATACGGTATGATATGATATGATATGATAAGGTATGATATGATATGATATGATATGATAAGGTATGGTATGATATGATGTTACAATGTGGTATGATAAGGTATGATAAGGTATGATATGATATGATATGATAAGGTATGATATGATATGATATGATATGATATGGTATGATGTGATATGATAAGGTATAATATGATATGATAAGATAAGATAAGATAAGATATGATATGATATGATACGGTATGATATGATATGATATGATAAGGTATGATAAGATAAGATAAGATAAGATAAGATATGATATGATAAGATAAAATATGATATCATATGATAAGAAATGATAAGGTATGGTATGATATGATGTTACAATGTGGTATTTGATAAACAAACGTGTAGCAGCAATTATTTAAAGTGATTTTGAATATCAAACTTAACCCTTGCGTTGTCCTTTGGGTCTAGGTGACTCGATGGCTGATAATATACCTTTTTTATGTGCGTGTACGGTACGTCTTGTGCAAACTTTTTCTCATACTCTGATTCTGGGATAAGATGCAAACCCGTTGTGAGGACGCTGCGTTGGTACAAAATGCTAAAAGGAGTTTAGAGTGAGAATCGTAGTCTACCAGAATATTGTGACTATAAATTACCTAATGCAGAAATCACAAAATATACAGAACAAGAGGAAAGATGTTACATGTTGCACCGGACCACTAGTCGATGTTAGAGACAAAGCATTGTGTATATGAAATGTTTTGGCCTTTTAAACTAATTACACTCTCTGCTGAGGCAGACCCACCACAGGGTGTATATCCCTGTTTACCTATTTAGCCTCAACTGGCATCTTTTCTCCTCATATAAATCAACTTGTGATGGATTTGTTGCGCTTCCATGTATTTCTGCCATTGGAAATGCTAAGCCTAACCCTGTGGTTGGCTTCCAATGGATTTGATTCTCTCAACATGTTTCATCTTACCCATTGGCCCGTTTGGGACTCTTCTCATTATTGTTGTAAACCCACCGAACAAGTTAGGCTCAAGTCCATCAATAAAAGTTCTGCAAACATTATAGAACAGTTTCACACATTTCACTTCTACACGTTGTGATCGCGGAGAATTACTCAAATGGCATGCAAAACATCTTTGTATGTCTTTTAGGTTGCTTTTGAGGTCACCTGCTAGGTAAGATAAGTAACAAAACGGCTGCCCATATTTTCACAAATATCATCAATATTGCTGTTTCTGTATGCCGCGTTTGGCTTCCCACCTTCAAGTTTCTGCTGCTAAGTACTTACCAAGTACTTCCAAAAAAGGGAACAAACACAATTTTCCACAGGCAGGCTAGAACGAATCCGTTATGCATTAGTTAGTAGCTGCTAATTATATATACTGTATATATATATACATATATATATATATATTATATATATATACATACATATACATATGTATATATATATATATATATATACATACATATACATATGTATATATATATATAAATCACTGATACCTATATATTAGCAAAACGATTACTCCTAACATAATATGAGTGGCAGAAGATATATGTTGCAACTTGTACACCTCGAAGCTTAAAAGCTATTAAAGAAACAGCTTTCATTCTATCGTTATAAATTATTTGTATACTACTACTACTAATACTACGACTACTATAATAATAATAATAATAATGATATTATTATTATCTTCATCAGTTTGGTGGTACTTGTGGTTAATGTTGCATCAGACAGCTGCCGCATTAACAGGAGCTGAAGGTTTGACAGCTTCAGTGATACTTTATTTCCCGCTCGTTATTTGTTCTTTTTTTTTTTTTTTTTTTTACACCAAGCAAAAAATTCCTGATTCATTCTTTTATCTATCGACAGGAGTGACATGTGAAATCATACATGCCGTTAGTCAGCTTGTCCTTTCGGTAGCCTTTAATCAATACCACTCCCCCGACTGTCTCTGGAGGACGATTGGCAACACAGACACACACACTCACACACACACACACACACACACACACACACGCACGCACGCACTCACACGCCTTCACTATCACATACACATACCCAAGCAGATAGACAAACCTGTAATACAAGGTACAAATTAATTAAAAAAAAAAAAAAAAAAATTAAATACACATTTCAGTTCCAGACTTGAGTGTAATATAACATTTAAATATTCGCTATTTTTATTTTGTTTTGTTAAAAAAATTCTTAAAAATCAAAATTGGTGCCGCACGGTATTACTTGTATTTCCAACACAGGAAATATGTTTTTTAAAATAAATAAACAAATAAATCAGTAATAATAAATACATGTTTTTTTTTTGGTCTTTTATTGATTTTGCATTTCATATTGTCATCTGTAAAATAAAAGTAAAATTTATTCGTTGCTAATACCACAGTAATAGTTGGACTAGGTTGGTATAAAATATACATTTGATTTTGGTAGAAATACATATTACATAGAAATGCAATACATACGTACAACTTTTTTTTTTCAGGAGGCTGACAACCACGGTTAGATTTTTTTCATCAGCATCATAATCATCATCATTACCGTCATCATCATCATCATCAACATCATCAGACAATCCTCTTTTTAAGTTGCTTTTGCTCAGTGTGCGGCCGTAAAGATTGTCATGCCACTGACTCCCGTTTGGCGCAGACGCGCGCGCCCTCCGTCCAACGTTGACTGACGTGGATGAGCGTCTGCTCGGATAAAAGTCATCTGAGCACAGCGATTTAGGGGAGGAGAAGGAGGAGGAGGAGAAGGAGGTTTGATCTGCGTAAATTAATGATAGTGTTTGTTTTGCTCCCGTCGTCGTTGTTGTTGTTAACTCCCGTGACTGTGTATTTCTACACACACACACACACACAGCGTGATTAAAATCTCACCGGTAACTCGCGTGTATTTGCGGCGTGAACTTGAGCTTTATCAGTCGAATGCGATGTGATGTGAGGAGGAGGAGGAGGAGGAGGAAACAGCCGAGGCCTCTCTTTCCTCCTCCTGCAGGCCGTCTTTGCCGCCGCCCTGTGGTTAAACTCTGCCTGGATTCGGCCGATGCACCCGCACGCACGCACGCACAAACACGCTTCCAAACGCACACGTTTTCTGGGGAAAAAAAAAAATTAATCATAAATAAAGTACACATTTTGTGTGTGTGTGTGTGTTTAAACGTTAACAAAAATAAAATAAAATAAAATGAACAAGTTTGTTTAGTAGCTGACTATTTTCGTGGAAACTTAATTTTGAAAATAGCTCCGTTTATATGAACGCATGTTAGAAAAAAAAATAGTTTTTTTTTCTGTTTTAAAGCCTAATATAAAATTCCGAATTGAGCAATTGGGAAAGGGATATTTTTGGACAGACGCCTCATCTGTCATCTTTTATTTTACAAGCGTCAAATAGTGCAACGCATATATATAAAACATCGGAAAACATAAACGTAATTCAACAAATTTGGAGCAAAAATAGGGGCAAATTATTCACCTAAAAATTCAACACCCGTGTTGTGTTTTTTTTTTTTTTACCTTTGAGACAAAATCATCCCGCAGAGAGTCGGCATCAGTAGCACGGCTGCGGCTCCTTCTCCTGTTTCTGCTCCTGCTCCTGGCCCCTCCTGCTTCCCGCCTTACACCTACTACTCCGTACGTACCTCCGTGCGTTCTTGTTTCCCTCCTCTCTTCAATTTATGATCTGCATCATCATGAATCTTCATCAAGGGAGCGACAGCACGAAAAGAGAGAAAGTGTTGGATTCTTCGAGGATTGTACCTTTAAAGCGCTCATTAGCGCTTCATAATGACTTTACTAATGAAGATGACACGGCGATTAGAACGATAACAGGCCGCGCGCGCGCACAGGCACGGAGGCACGGGCCCGCTGCTCTGCGGTAAACAACAGCAAACGCTGTGGCACCAGGGGCGGAACACAGAAATAATCTGTCAAGTAATATTAATTGAAATGTTCATTGGTTTTTTTTTTTTAAAGTCCGCATTATATAAACCTGGAAAAAAAAACTTCTATTGGCCGTGTTTTAACGACCACTGTCGAAACTTCCCGCTTCTCGCTTCCCGCTTCCCGCTTTTCGTCCTTAATTGAATTACACGTCCAAGCTCTAATTCGTTTTGGGGAGGGGAAAAAAAGAGAGAGAAAGAGAAAGAAAAATAGTGTATTTTGCAACGTTTTTGCATATATTTCTTGGGCGGGAAATGGTTTCTGATGTGGCCTCGTAGATCGAGGTTGTTTTCCTTCTTCTTCTTCTTCTTCTTCTTCTTCTTTAGAGAATTAAAGTCAATTCAATGGCTGACTTGAAGTGTCTGTAATTAGAAAACAAGACCCTGATTGGTGAGGTGAAACGGTTCTGGTCAGGATACAAACCAATGGAAAGAGAGAGAGAGAGAGGGAGAGAGAGAGGGAGAGGGAGTGAGAGTTTATCATAAAAGATAAAATATAAATTCCCCCCTCGCCGTGGGGCCATGACGTCAGCAAAGGAAGTCATTGTCGAGCAACACTGAAGCGATTAGCAACAAAAAGGGAAAGGGAGGGGGGCTGATGTGGAGGACTCTTTCTCGGTCTCTGTCTGTCTGTATATGTCTCTATATACGACTCAAGTTTTTCAGCTAAACTTCAATATCCACGCAGAATCAGGGGGGACACGCCGGAGCACGCACATGGAGGCAGCGCGCGTTACTTCTTTGCTCTTTTTCTATTTTTCCCGATCGCAACCATTTGGACGGCAACATTGACTATCCTACTCATTTGGATTCTTGTTTTTTGTTTTATTTGTATTTGATTTTTTTTTTTTTTTTTCCTATTTTTTTTTTTGTTGGAAATCTTAATCGGGAGAAGCGAACCTCGCTGCCTAGAATGAAGACTGTGGCCGCCTCATTGCTTTCTTAACATGGAAGGATCCAGCGGGTCAAATTTCGGGATAGACACAATTTTGTCCAGCAGCGCCTTAAACTCTGGTAACACGGTGCTTATGAACGCGGGAGACTTCCACTGCAGCGGCGGCGGGGGCAGGACAGTCCCAGGTCAGGATTTCAGAAACCAGGCCACGCCGTCACCAGCCTGTTCGGACATAGACTCTGTGGGGGGCACCGAGCCCTCATCCCCCATCTCCGTCACCACCGAGCCGGGCGCCGATCCGCATGTGGTGCAGGACAACGGCCTTCAGCATCAGCAGCAGCACCACCACCACCATCACAACCACCACCATCACAACAACCACCACCAACATGCAAACCAACCTCACATCCAGTTACCGCAGGCGCCGCAACTGTCGCCGCAGCCGCAGCCGCCGCCGTTGGCAGGGGCGAGGACTGCCACCTCTTCTTTTCTAATCAAAGACATTCTCGGGGACAGCAAACCGCTGGCCGCCTGCGCACCTTACAGCACCAGCACCCTGATTTCGTCATCCTCCACTACCTCCTCTTCCTCATCTCCGCCGCCTCACCACCACCACCACCACCACCACCATCGTCCGTCACACACACCTAAACCAGAAAGTGCCACAACGGCTCCGGACAGCTTCAGGCCCATGAAGCTGGAGCAGGAGGAGAGCAGGAACAAGCTGGACAAGAGGGAGGACATCCACAGCGACTTGAAATGTAACGGTAGGAGCGTGGTCTCGATTGTCAGTGGAAAGCATTTATATATAAATATATATATATATATATATATATATAAAATGACAAATGACAAATGGTAAAAAAAAAGGGCAAAGCCAAATTGCAAAACACAAAACAAAACAACATACAACTATGATGTGACATGTGCAATTTATTAAAATAATTTACATTATTACACGTCATTATAAAGCTGAAGGTCGCGGACAGGAGGCTACAAAACAACTCGATAATAATAATAATAATAATAATAATAATAATAATAACATGATCATGTTTGGTTTCCTATAAAAGAAGTCCTAAAAAAATACGATCCAATAAAATTAACAAAACATTGTATACAGTTGGTATGGGAAATAGCGTAATTATTAGAATATCGTTTTCTATTTGGGCTGCAAAAATCGTGTAATTGCTTAAAGAAAACTCACTTCATTTCAAGTGTTGAGCAAAATGTTGACCCACCGCGTGCCTTCAATCAGAGGTGAAACCTGGAAATGTATTAGTAAAGATTTAAAAAAAAAAAAAAAAAAAAAAAAGTATGTCAACACCGTTTCCGTTCGGGACGGAATCACGCATTGCATTACCTTTATGGCTCAACTGGGTCAATGTCATAGCTGTTTACTGTAGGGAGTCACTGTAAAAAAAAAAAACGTAAAAAAAAAATAAAAAAAAAAAAAAATTCAAAAATAATAATGATATGATAACAAATGGGGCAATCATTGAAATTTTAATATTGCACGACCAAACAATTAATGAACAAATAATGATAATAGTGACATTATTATTATTATTATTATTATTATTATTATTATTATTATTATTATTACTTTTTAATACAGTCAGTGTGAAAACAGATGAAAGCCGTGTTTTTCCGGCGCGCCATAGTCTCCCTTGTGGGTAAGTTAGAGAGATGATCGTTGTTCCTTAAGGAGGAGGTGTTACAAATAGAGACGAGTTAACAATAATTTCTATATATATTTTTTTTTCCACCCAGTGAATGAAAAGATGCAACTTGATAAAACAAACATTGCTTCATAAGCTCGGCCGTGTTTTGTTTTTTTTTTTGGGTTTTTTTTTATTTGCCTCTGCGTTTCTCGTGCGTGAGTTAGTCAAAGTTTTTTTTTTAATGATGATCCCTAACCTCTATTTTATTTTTATGTTTATTTGCTCTCTTTCTATACAAAAAAATGAAGTATTTATCTCTGCCAGTTTTTATCATAGCTTAAAATTAATCAGAAAACAAAAGTGAGTGATGCGTCATAAGGATTGAAAGCAAAACTATATTAGACCATCTCATATATGAGTAGGAAGTTATTGGACACTGACGTGTTTTATATATATATTAAAATCTACAAAGTGCGTTGAGGATTCTCCAATAAATGCATCATAAAAAAAAGGATGAAACTAGAAAATAAATTCTATGTATATAAGTTTGATTTAGATACGTGTCTTAGTTCAATTTAAATGATGAGGGGAGAGGAGGTTCTTTCTGCACACCTAACGTTTGCTTCCACGCAGGGACTAAAGAAGAGGGAGACCGGGAGATCTCCAGCAGCAGAGACAGTCCGCCAGTGCGCTCCAAAAAGCCGCGCAAAGCGCGCACGGCCTTCACTGACCATCAGCTAAACCAGCTGGAGAGGAGCTTCGAGAGACAGAAGTACCTTAGCGTTCAGGACCGCATGGACCTGGCCGCGGCTCTCAACCTCACCGACACACAGGTCAAGACCTGGTACCAGAACAGACGGTAGGTCAACAACAGTGCACTTCACTTCACCTCACCGCACCAACACCGCCATCATCATCATCGTCGTCATCATCATCATCATCATCAGCGGTGATCCAGATATTGAGCCTAAAAAACCTGCACGTCTTCATTCACTTTTTTTTTCATTCACCAATTCAGACACCGTTGTCCGTGATGTAAATCCTCATAGTTTCACATGGGTCCACTTAAAAAAACAAAACAAACAAACAAACAAAAAAAAAACAACTAAAAAGTAACATGTAAAAACTTACTCCTCTGTCGTGACAATTTGTATCTCAAACTCAAACTCCTAAACCTCAAAGGAATTTTTCATAAAAATGTTATTCTTATTCCTGAAGATGCGTTATCTAGTTGAACATAATCTACAATATATATATATATATATGTATATATATTTATAAATCATCTATGAATGTTTAGATTCATGTTGCCTCATTATGTCAATTCCCTGCATTAGTATTATTTATAATATGTAACACTTTTTTTTTTTTTTTTTAGATCACACTGACTTCAATCTTTTTATTTGTTGCTTGTACAGTCAAAGCTACAGCCTGAGATAATTAGGGATGTGTGAGCCAATTAGAGATCCGTTTAGGGACCCGTTTAGAGACTGGGCGATTAAATAATTAATTAGCTGTATTTTGATCAGATTTTGATCAGATTTGTTTTTCTTTCTTTCTCAGGACGAAGTGGAAAAGGCAGACGGCAGTGGGGCTGGAGCTCCTGGCCGAAGCAGGGAACTACTCGGCCTTACAACGGATGTTCCCGTCGCCCTATTTCTACCACCCGAGTCTTCTCGGCTCTGTTGACAGCACCACAGCTGCCGCGGCCGCCGCAGCCATGTATAGCAGCATGTACCGAACTCCTTCTACACCGCACCCGAGCCTCCAGAGACCGTTGGTCCCCAGGGTGCTCATCCACGGGCTAGGGCCCGGGGGGCAACCTGCGTTGAACCCACTCTCTACCCCGATGCCTGGTACACCGCATCCGCGATAATAGAAAAACAAACAAACAAACGAACAACAACATTATATATAAAAAAAACAAACTAAAACCAAAACTAATCATAACACAGAAATGAAAACAACAAGAACAGAGAACAAGAGGAAAAGAGGTATACCACGTGCTGCAACGGAGGCTCCAAAATCACAGAAGGACTCTTTTCTCCATCCTCCTTTAAGAAAACAAAACCGAAAAAAACACTAAATGAACTTCTGCAGAAGAACGAAAAAGAACAAAACACTAAATGAACTTCTGCAGAAGAAACAAAGAGAAGGAGCTGTTATTTAAAATTTTATGAACAAAAAAAAAACCGGTGTCCGGGTCCTAATCGAACCGGATCAACCGGAGAGGATGACGCCTATCTGTTTGTTTGTTTGTCTTTTGTACACATACACTTACATTAGTGCAAATAAACTTATAAAGTTTATTAGGTGAAGATAACAAGTGAATGAATGAATAAAAAAAAAAAAAGTGATGACACATCAGAGTGCACGGCGGTTTCTGTTAGACACGCATCCCTCCAAGAAGAAACACCGAATACTACAACTACTACAAATGCGTCTACTACTACTACTACTACTGCAAATACTAGTAACAACCATAATAATAATTCGAGATCATCCTTCACCTCACGCATATATGACCTCACTCGCCTTTGCTTCTCTTTTCGCATATACTCTTCTGTGTAGTACAACTTGGGTATGATGTCGTGATATCTGTAGTATTACAGTATTTTTTTTTTGTTGTTGTTGTGTCTTGTGACATTGTGGCGTCGTATTTTTTTTATTTTTTATTTTTTTTGTTTTGGTCTGTTTTGTGTGCGTGTGTTTACGGCGGCCTTCACAACTGTTTAGCGTTTCGGAGTTTGGTGTGGCGTGTAAGTGTGGCGTCTGCGCGCGCGTGCGCGTGCATTCTGGGAATTTATCGACGTCTTGACAGCTGTTTCTTACGCAGACAATGAAGCTGAATTTCTCAGCGCGAGAGGGGGGGGGGAAGAGAAACAGGGGAAAAGGAAGAAGAGCAGGACGAGCTGGACAACTAAGTAGCTGAGTGCTGAGTAGTAGTTGTTTGCCCGAGAAGATTTTTTTTTTGTTTTGCAAATTCCTTTTTGAATTATATATATATATATTTTTTTTACTTACTTAACACTTAAACACTGCAGCAGCATCATAATGCGTCATGATGCAAACAGGGCTGTATGGAAGTGCATGCGTTCAACCTTAAAGGAAGACCGCAATGCGATTTGACACAGATTTGGCGTTTTACGCCGAATGCCCTTTCTGA